TTGCTCTTGAAGGGTATGAGAAGCACTGTTGGACTAGTGGATATACAAGATCGTACCTTGAGTGGTATTCTTTTGTACGGAGACCTGGAGCTCGGGAAGTGAGCCTAGGACGAGTCCAGAGATGGATATCAACACGAATAACACAGAAAACGTGGCGAACACTTGGGCGTAGCCGGAACTAAAAGTGAATAATTTTATTCAAGGTAACATGTACACTGCGAATACACCCCTTTTGTAGATGTGAAAAGGCTAGCAGGGCGCTATATAGTGAGAAAATGGCGAAAGAACGGAGTGAAACGGTCAAAATCCTGCGAAGAAAAAGCCTCCGTTCTCAGTGACTTGAAAATCGATTTCGGACGAGTTTCCCGTAGGCATCTTGCCAATAACCGCTACCGAAGGTACGGCTGCATATGTGTACCATATATCCATGCAGCATCACGGCCGCTTCATACCAATCCCTTCGCTTCATAATTTTGCTTAGCAAATGAATCAATACGAGCGTCAGGAACGGTCGTCCATTTGTGGGCGGGCGGGCGTGGTGGGCGTTCGGGTCGGTATGTTGTAGCTTGATAGGGCCTTATAAGGGTACCTTCCTTGGAAAAGGCGCTACGCAGCGCCTGCTCAGGGTCGCGGAATTCCGTCCTGCCAGGCGTATTAATCCTACTCGTCTTTGGAATTTATCGTGCCAACTGTCTTTGAGCATTTTTTTTCAAATGCAGTCTTCTTAGGCAGCATTAGAATGGCGACTGGGATTTTGGAATTCCACGTTCCCCTACGTTCCACAATCAATACAATTTTGTGGAGTCTATTGAGCTACAGTCAGAGCATATGGTGGCAACGTGAAGAGTTCACGTCCAGTGCGCTTTTTCGACCAACCCCTCGTTCGCCTCGCAACCTATTATCTCCGATTCTCAGGAAGAACCACTATAACCGGGACAAAGTAGGTAGAGCCAAGAAGCAGAGAAGCCGTGCAGCCTTCTCTGAAATTCGCAAGTTCCAGGCTGCTCTTCAGGAACTGAATACGACCCCTCGCTACATACCCAGATACACCCCTGGTGAGGAAACCCGGGGGCTATTTCTGTCGCTGATGAGGGTGAAATCAGAAGTCCGGACCTGATATACCTTGCTACAATAACCGACAGCGGTGTCTTACCTAGTGGGCTCCTCGATCACGTTCCAAACTTTCCTTCGTAACTCGCCGAATCGCAGGTGTTTGAATTGATTTGGCGACTCTTCAGAGGAAAATGATGAAATTGAATCCAGATCGTTCTGAAAACAAGGAAACCTCCAAGCTAGCTACCATCGACAAGTTAGATAAGAGTAATGTGAACGTTCTACTAAAGAATTTTGGAGCATTTTGCTTTTTTCAGGGAGAAGCCATGCCTAAGCCACGAATGATGCGTGTATCAAATCACAGACCTACCACGGCCCGGGCTAACGAAACCTTTTGTTCCTTTGGAAGCGCCAAACCACTATCGATCCCGACCGGAAAGGTAAAAAATAACTAGCAGATTATATTGCCCGTTAGCCATTGCATAGGCTAGATGCATCCAAAATGCTGCTACGATAGGCCAGATCGCATGAAGTGCCGCTACTAGCTTAGATGGAGTAAGAAGCGTGGCGCATCCCAGAACTAGACTGCCAATTCCTAGCCTTTTTATAAAGTTCTTGTGACATGTCCCTATACAACAATCCTCTTCTGAAAACCTAATCCCCATATGATTCTTGCAGCGTTATGACTTAGCCCAATGGATACTTGTCGACGCATTTTATATGCCACGCCTCGGAATCACGAACATTTTGCCGTGACATACAAAACATGTCATCCCATAGTGGTAACGATTAGTGGAAACCGGCTGGTGCCGCGCCAAAACCTACGCACGCAGGTACGTCTCGAGAAAAAAGACGCATCCATCACGGCATTGTGTATGTTACCTTTTTCGGGTGCCAAATGTGTCCACGTAAATTGTAATCTGAACATGAAACACGTGAAAGAGGCGCCAAAAAATTTATTGCAAAAAACTCAAAAGAATCCAAAAGTTCTTGCAAAAATTTTTGTTTCTAATACTTCCTTCGAATATTTCGGTGCCTAGCACCTTCCTCAGCGATCTGAAATACTATAGTTAGTCGTCTGCAACCGAATCCCGGATCTTGTCTTCAGTGGTGCCCGAACTGGACTCTGACCTGGTCTTCTGCCTCCAATATAGCCTCCGCCGCTCCTTGCAAAAGTGCGACTTCTAGTGTTGACTGCGACCCTACCCGTCATCCTCCCTTAAATAGTGAGGATGACTGGTGAGCGTCTCTGCATATGATATCACTGACCGCTCAACCATTATCACGTAGTCAGTGAATCAACTGCAGCGCGTCACGTAGCTCATCCCTACTATTCATTTCCGGAGATACCGAAGAAGCACCGCACCACCATGCATATACACGAAGGTCCTCCCGCAATCACCATTACAGTATTACACCGTTCCATTGAAAATACAGTGGAAAGAAAACTATTAGAAGCACTGGAAATAAAAAGGCTCTCTCCGGAAATGAATAGTAGGGATGAGCTACGTGACGCGCTGCAGTTGATTCACTGACTACGTGATAATGGTTGAGCGGTCAGTGATATCATATGCAGAGACGCTCACCAGTCATCCTCACTATTTAAGGGAGGATGACGGGTAGGGTCGCAGTCAACACTAGAAGTCGCACTTTTGCAAGGAGCGGCGGAGGCTATATTGGAGGCAGAAGACCAGGTCAGAGTCCAGTTCGGGCACCACTGAAGACAAGATCCGGGATTCGGGTTGCAGACGACTAACTATAGTATTTCAGATCGCTGAGGAAGGTGCTAGGCACCGAAATATTCGAAGGAAGTATTAGAAACAAAAATTTTTGCAAGAACTTTTGGATTCTTTTGAGTCTTTTGAGTTTTTTGCAATAAATTTTTTGGCGCCTCTTTCACGTGTTTCATGTTCAGATTACAATGAGGCTCCGGGACAGCACCATTATTAAGGTAACTATTACCCTGTCTCCCAGAAACCTCCTAGCACAATTAATTCTATGATGTGTGACTGGCTTTTGATGGTAACTCTGAAGAAAATCACCTTATCTTCTGCACAGCAACAGGGAGCGAGGTAGTTGTCAGGCACGATACCCCAATAATCCAATTCATCCAGTATATCAATTGGGCATAAATGTGAAGGCTGATGTATTTGGCCTAGAAATAAAGGTAAATGAGTAAAGGAACTTTCAGCGAGCAGTGATTAATCTCCAGCAGTACCGGTTAAATAGAACTGGTAAACAATATGGAATAACGTAGGCGGTCTTTCAAAGTAGAACTCATTCGTGGAGGAAAAGTACGCATCGGCAAGGCTGAGTCGTTCTGACGTACTGTCCAACTCCAGTAACCAAACGAGGCGTCCGGAAATAATGAAAATCATTTCACATTCTGAAGAATATTTGGAGATTTGGCTGAATTATCCCTCCAAGCCTCATGCACTCCCACACCTCTCCTGACCCTGGAGGTGGGGAGGGCGTGGCTGCGCGGCTGCGCTTCTGATGGGGAAGCATTTGTCCAGCACAGGAATCATGGACCTGCCCCAAAAGGAAACATCCCACAGAAAACCGCATTTTAAGCCATGTTCAAATGAAGTATTAGCCACGCCCTATCATCCCCGGGATATGGAGTCTATGCTGCGGTCATATCGTATGTTGCTGGAGACTTGAAATAGAAAATTGAATTGTCCATGAAGAGCTAATGGTAATCATCGATGTGGAATCTCATCAAAACGGCAGCACCGCCTCACTTCCGCTTCCCGATAAGCATCAAATTCTTTCTGGGATTCCCCTTTTTCAGGGGACATTTTTTGCGGATTCCGGCGCGGAGCTAACGAAATCGATTCCTATCTTATTCTATTTGCTGGTCTTCCCTTTCTCCATGTCGCTGCGTGTTATGTCTTTCAGAGAGACTCGACGATTCCCCAGTGGCACGAATAAGCATGGGGCCTTATTAGAGCTTAGTTGAAAAAGTATCAGTCTGATAAAAACTCCATCAATTTGTCATTCAAAAGCTAGCTAACTCACCAACTTTTCGGGCGAGTATCGTTTCTTTCTTGAGCATAAATCGATGGCCACCAACATTCAATCGAAGGAACTCTTTCGATTTCGCACTTTCAACGGAGATACCCTGAAATAAGAAAATGTGTTTGTATGCCCTTCAGAGAGAGCATTCTCCTCTTTCCTGTGTTCAGACGGGGAAAATCGAATCGATTCGTACGGAAGATTGCAATTCAACCTTGGTGGGGGCATTTTGCTGGATTACATTGAACCACCGATGTTTCATGTGAAAACGTGTAAGCTGCGTAAAATAATGCAATGTTACGAGCTTAGCTTTCATTCCACAAGGGTCTACATACAGACTCACCAAGGTGAAACGGAGAACCAAGTAAAACTAGCAAAGCTAGAAAAATGCTCCCTCTGAACCGATTTCGCGCATGTTGTAATAACTTTGTTAGTTAGAAATTTAGCTTAGAAAAAAATTCAGATATGTAAAAATTTTCGCAGATAGGAAATGCCTGGGGAAAAATGTTCTCAAAAAATAGATCTAATTTGTTACAGGGACAGAATGGTGCAAAAAATGGCAATATGGTGAAAAGTGGTGGCATGTCTTGATAAACATGAAAAGCTATCGTAACGTCGGCCGTTACCCCAAAAGTCACTGCCTACCGCTGGTCGGATGGCCGGGTGGAGACGCTCAACCATACTGCGGAGGAAACATAAGGACGAGGCGGATGAGCGCCATTTGTCGCTAGAAGAGCATTATCGGTACTTCAACAGAAGAGAACTTTTTTTGATCGCATAGGCTGCGCTCATACATTGCGGAGTGTCCTGTAGCGTTCCGAGCGTCTAAGAGCATTAGCGACTGAGGAAGTATAGATACCGATTTAGCGTCTGCCAGCGTCTCCCAGCGCCCACCAGCGTTTGATAGGCCTGAGAAGCTATAAGGTATCGATCTGCGAATCTCCAGCGTGTGTCCAGCGTGCTATCAGCGTCTTATTGAGTCCTGCGAGTGTAGAGTATGGCGCGATAGGAGGGTAGCCCTCTATACGCCGCCATACTCCCTAGTCTGCACTTTCCTATACTTCCTATACTCCTTGTCAGCTGGTCTGCCAGCCTTCACACCATACCCTCTCACTCGAATGTGTTAGACGCAGGCGCGCTCTGGTAAGACTGCGAGGACACGCTGCAGAGCTAAAATCCGATAGGTACTACTTTTGCCAGCCGCTAACGCTGCGGGATTCTCGGAACGCTGGGGGACACTGCCACAAGTATGAACGCAGCTTATTTCTCCCATCCTCTTCACCCTCCATCGGTGCCACAACAATCTTATTATTTCTGATAGTTGTTCGGAGATATCCACCAACCCCCTCCCCGTCGTATTCAAGTGGGGGAGGGGTTGCCATCAGAGACAGAAGTCTATTTCCTCACGCTATGCCTGACCTTGGCCTACTTCTCCTTTCAAAGCATCAACAAGAGCGAAACGTTCGTCTCAAGGATTAACGAATCGCGAGGAGCTAAAGCCGCGATACAACGTGGCTGGCAAAGACGTGTCGAAGTCACCACAAAAACGTGCCAAATTCGCATGGGTTTAGGCAACATGATCTTTTTTTTTTTTATACAGCAACGTAGGAACACGAATCTTCAGTGAATGTCCATTCATTTCAGCGGAGAAAACAAAAAAAAAAAAAACAAAAAAAAAAAAAAAAACCATAATGACAAAAAGTCTCACCCGTGGTGTTCGGTTCCGACTTTCCGCGATGCGAACAAATTCTGCACGAACAGCGGGTTCCTCTTCGGTGCCGGCTGGTCAGACCCGCGATTATTCCTAACAAATGCCAACATTGATAATTTGGAAGGGACCTGAAGGACTTTCATGTTGCTGTGCGACACGGGAGCGGGCAATCCTGTACACTGCGGGAAACAGTGCGAGTCTTTATAGAGAGCTGCGAACTCTCATGTAAAGCCTGAGGAATGATACCAGTTCATTTTTTTTATTCTCTACATTGTCACCTGATTCCCCGCCTCGCCGAATGATGAGCGTGTACCCACCAAAACGGACAAAAGCATAAGTTTTGCTTTCACCGCCATACAGCTTATTTTACTATGACGTTTGTCTATCGCTACCCGCCTCAACACACTTGCCAGGAAGAGAACGAACCCGTGGCGCGCCAAATCCCACCCCACTGACACGACACGCGCACCGTCATCCACGGACGAACCTGCTATAGTATACTACTCACAGTATATCCGAACCGGCAGGAGGACTATGAGGAATATTCAAAATGAGCCAGAAAAAGTGAGGGGGCGAGTTACAGTTGAGTCAGAGTTTGCTGATCCTTTCCCCACTACATGCAACATGCGATACTGACTTCTCTTTTCAAGGGTCGTTAAGGGACTTTCGTCCGCTCTAGACGAGCTGTTACCTAGGCTCAGTCAGAACTCCTCGGACAAAATTCAAAAATCCTCGTCCTCACAAACTCCAAGGTCATAATTGATGTCTCCATGTTCAGCAAATTTCGCATTACAATGACCGTCGAATTTCCCGCACTAAATGACGTGAAACATACAAAAAAATGGGGAATCAGACATGGAAAAGGTGCCCGTAACATTTCACAGCTTTACAAGAGTTCACAGTACTCCCCAAAAATACACGACTAACAGCAGTTTACAGAATGTCCCCTCTAGCTAGCGGATTTGCGGCAATTTCCTTTCTGGAGCAATTCCCAACTCCAGCTGTCCTCTATCAATTTCTAACTGAAGATTTATAGCCCATCACAAATGCCGGGGGAAAATCAATGACGTGGAAGCTATTGGTGAAGGCAATAAAATCCTCAATAAGGTAATGAAACGGACTCTCCTTGACTCTTGAGAAGAACCTGAATCCATTTCAAAATATATAAATTTAAAGGTCTCGCATAACCAATAGACTCATTCACCGCCATAAATCTTAACAATAATAAATCCAATAAATCTCTGTTTAGTATTGCTTTAGCTCGCTTCGTGTTCTAACCCAACTCTTGACCATAAATGGTCCAAAAGCTTGGGCTTGATAAAAATCGGAGAAGTTATGAATATTGAAAATAAGGCAGAAAAAAGGGGGCAAGTTGCAGCTGACCCTGCATAATAGATGAAAAGTAAGAAAAAGTAGTATAACATCTATATACAGTGTAAAATAAGTTTAACATGAGTCTAAATCGTGTCGCGGCAAGAAAAGGGGAGCTATCTGGGGCGGGGCATGTAATGGAGTCCATGGGTGCGTGCGATAGACTCAACCACTCCACTCAACCCACATGTTTCTAGGATCCTTCCGCGAAGCGACTTTTTTGCCAATCTTGTGCGAAGCGCCCACCGCACATATTCTACACATAATGGATCCCATTACGAGCCCCGCCCCCAGATAACTCCGCCTCTTGCCGCGACGCAATTCCTACTCACATTGAACACGTTTTACATTATATATAGATGTTATAATAGTTTTTCATACCTTTCATCTATCGACATAAAAGACCCCTCAGGAACTATTTCCAACAGTCCGACCTCTTACGAATCTGATAGCCGATACGGTCATGCGCGGCGATGTGAAATCCACGACCAAAACGATGTCGATTCAGTCGAGTGATGCCGTGCGACGTGGCCATAATAGAGCCCTGTAGCACCGCGGTATTCATGGTGATCGATCCGCGATACAATCAAAGGCCGGCAATCAATAAATCAATATTCGGTTACGTGCAGACGATGAAGTCGGCATTTGATTTTCCTCTCATCAAGCGGTCAGGCAAGGGTTTTTTCTGAAATTTTCTGGTGAGGACAGCAGATTGGCGAGTACGGTATTCAACAGCGGATACTGTAACAGACAGAGTTCGTGCTTTTCAGCATGACCGTGAGATCATGCTACTTAGTTTATACTAGTACTACTTTCCGAGAACAAATTAATGCACCAGTTTAGGAGGAAGCTCAGAAAAAGAAAGTCGAGGAACTTGAGGGAAATAGACAGCCTCTAGAGAAGAGTCACTTGGCGGAAAAGGAAATAAAGGCGTTAATAATCGGGGGGGGGAAGCATTCAAAGACCTACTTGTACAGAACCGAGTTCTCTGTATCCAAATTACAAAACTGAGATTACTGTCATCCGAATAGAATCACCGCACTTCAAACTGATTCACTCACTCTGGAGCTCTCCTCTCTTCAAGCCTAGCCAAATCCACACGTAGTCTAGTCTCGCACTTTCGCCACGAAGTAAACTTTTGATAACCCTCCAGGGTTACTGGCGCCCGAATTCACATACCCCTCCAAGCCGTACTGGCGCCAAATCTAAGTTTACAGGAACTGAGTGTTAAGTTGAGGAACAAGAGCAAAGGCCCGGCCTCGTGTCAGTTCGCTGGCTACGCGGAGGTAAAACAACGCCCTAACCCACATGTGCAAAACAAACTCACAAAAAAAACTAGGGAATACTGTATAAAAAACGTGCACTTCTGAAGGCCCCACAAGATCTTAGCCATAGGGCCAGACAACACGCCCTTATCTTATTTTTTTCCCCCACCCAAAAAAGCCAAAACGACATTTAAGCGGAATCTCTTCGCTCTAGAACGCTGCAAGGGCGACGGGGGGGGGAGGAGAGACGCTTTGCATTTTCGATGCTTTTCATTGCCGTGTCCAGCTCTCAAATAGAGCTTGTGGGATATTGTGAAGCCATAGTGGAAATGAATACCTGTCAAATTTTGTAGAAACTACTAGTCAACTCGTGTAGAGCAATGAATACGACAATGGCGAAAGTGGAAAATGCCTCCCCTTCCCTTGTTTTCGAACTGCCGCGACTACAGTTTGGTGACAGGGAGTTGAGAAATAAACGAATCCAAGGCCGTCGTACCAATTCCAGTTAATTTTTTCCCCTGATTAGCCACAAACAACCAGCACAAATGGGACGCAAAGCTTCCGTTCTAAGAAATGGCCCGACAAATACCATATTCATGGGTATTTATTAGGCCATTCCAGCGAAAGGTGGCTATTGTTATGCCGTCTGGGCATAAATGGCAATCAATAGAACACAAACCATGATCGGAAAGAATTTGCCGAAACCAACTACGACCACCATGCCCTGAAGCGCGAAAAAATTTGGCTTGGGGAGAGTTTTTACAGAGTGAGACCCTCAAATCCTGCTTGGCACGACACCCTCCTGCTAAACCGAGTCAATCTCACCAAACATTCCCCACAACTAGCTGTTAGGTAGGGAGGGGAGTGGAGGCTGACTCCTTTCACAGACTATCACAAATAGTAGTTTATAGCACCAAGGGGCAGGGACGAAATCTTCGCCGTTGATCAATCCCGTTGTGGGATGATTCTACTTCCATTCAGAACGGTGAAGGCTTATTGAATGTGGCCTATACAATGACTTGCGGTGGCCAGCCGATGTACAAGTCAGTGTTTTATCCTCCCAGACGAATCTGGTACCAATTTACCGTCCCCGGAGGGTAGAAGGCTTGGTTGGTCTGGGTGGAGCCGAAATCCAGGATTCGATCCCCAGACCGTGCCTGGATTGCAAGCAGCAGAAACCACAAACCGATGGGCTAGAGTGCTCATGAAACGGAAAAAGTCAGGAATCAGTGAAATTTCCCGAGGCCAACTCCGACCACCTCCCCTTCAGCGAAGAAAGAGGACTCCCGCTGAAGATCACAAGCGCACGACCCGCCCCAACAGGGAGACAATCG